TAAACATCCCCACGCTAAGGCTCTCCCAAGTTACAGATATCCCTGTTCTCCTTGTGCACCTGTTTCAGGGAAATGAGCAATTGAAAAGAGAAGTGCACACTTCTGAAGCATATTCCTGAAAAAAAATATATAAAGACATATCCGGCTACATAAAGGAAAAACTTTTTAATGCTGCGAGTCAACATCTAAAAATCAGACACCTTACTTTCTTGACATCAAGTAGTCTCCTTGACCCAAATGATAAGTTTTTCTTGGAGTTGGAGTTGAGTGGAACGAGAAAGATTTGAGACTAATGATGAGAAAAATAAAGCTTTTTAATTTAAAATGCTAAGTATTTAAATGGTTAAGAGAACTAGTTATAACCATGTACTGCTTTATAGCTTGCATCTTTCCTTGGGGCACATCCTGTACTTCATTTCCCTTACTTGTTCTCTGGTTTGCAGTTTTGAACAGCAATTCATGGCAGAGATCCCTGGGTGAAGGAATGGGAGAAATTATTCCAGTTTAAGCATGTTAAGTTTGAATGAGGACACAGAATCCTGGAAGAAATCGAAACTTAACAATTGCATTTAATTGGTTTTAACCCTTCAACATCGTATGGGGAAGTACATTGGGTAATAATATATACTATTTCACTGTGCATATGTTAAAATGTAAAAATCTCTTAAGTGCAAATAGCACTTGTCACTCCATCAACTATTCAAATTGTCAGAGATGTATCAGCCAACCCTAACTACTCTCTGCAGGCAATCTGGAGCCAGCCTGCTGTTTAATAACCAGCATTTAACAAGAAATAACATGTAGATGTGGTGTGTGGTTTAAAACATTGTGTTAAGCGTCATTAAAACTCAGTCTCCTAGGAGCCTTATTAAGAGTCCTTTCCTCGCCATAATAAAACATTTCTCCGTGGCTGTTTCGATCTAGCTGCTAACAATACAAACAAAATGCCTCTTAATTTAGCATCCCACTAGAGGGTCATTGTGACTGCAGAACTGTAAAGACAGGGAGGAAAAAAAAAAGCCTAAACCATCCTTCCCAAATCCTACCTAATCAGTGGAACTGAATGAAGCACTAGGAACTGTGGATTATAGGATATATATGTATTTTTTTTTCTTTTCCTTTTCCTATACTCTATGTGGGGTTATTATTGGCGACTGTGTCTTTGTTCAGGACATAAGGGAAGGCTGCTGATGACTTAGAAATGGGCCTTGCATTGTGGAGTCAGCAATCTGCCGTCATTGGATGGACTGAGTCTATTTTCAAGGAAGTCCACACATGAAATTTCTCCTATAAAAGTTCATGTGATTTTGATGTTAAAATTTATTTTAAAAGAAAATAATTTTTTTTTACTCTACAATTAGCCTCAAGTATTTCTGCCCTGTTGCCACAGGAGAAAATGCATGCACAATTATGTCAATTCACAGAGATCATAATTCAAATTTTCTATGACAGAAACAGAACAATTCAATTCTGCTTCAGATTTTCCTTCTTTGAAAATGTGTATGGCAGTTTTCTCTGAACAACTATCACAGCCCACTTTTGCCACTGCTTGTCAGGGCCCCGGGACTGGCTGGGTCTCGGGCTGGCTTAACTAGGTTCCGGAAGCTGACCACTAAAGCTATCTAGCTCAGGAACTATTTCTCTTAGGTGCCTGAGGGCTATCTACTTCAGCAGGAGAGAGAGAAAGAGTCTTAGAGAAAGTAACGCAGTCTTCTTAGAAAGATAGATCTTAGTCTTTAGCAGAGCTTAGTGATTTTCAACAGAGAGAGGCAGTGCTGGCGTTCTGCAGGCAGGAGAGGAGACAGAGTCATACATAGTAAGCATGTCCGTGATAGAATGAGCAGGCTCCCAACTGCCTTCTCCTCCAGCCTAATAGAACGCTGATCTCATGCCTCTCAACACCATAGGTGTAGAGACTAGCAATTCACCAATGCTCTCATCTTGGGAGCTCTCATGCTTGTTAGGAGAGCTAAATCCCTCTCCATGCTCTTTTCACCAAGGTGTTCCATTATTGAGCTATACAGGTATTTCTCATTACTCTCACTCCTCCTAGCCATAGGCTATATGGGCTGCTACATACAACTATCCTCACTGCTCTATAGACAGTTACAGAGCTAACAAAATTGACAAATCACAAAAATATTTTGATAGAGGATGCTAAGAATTTAGGTTTAGGAGACTCTCATTCTAATATTTTGATCTACTGAATAGCTGTTCTAATTCTGTAATATTTAAAGTGACTCAAGTGGAAGTATTTAGGATTATGAATAGCTACTTTGACCTTTGCTTTCTTTTGAAATGGACTACCAAGACAAAAGAAAATATTTTATCTCATTTTCAGTTAATCTTTCCTATCAATCTCCAAGATTTGTCAAGATTCATGCTATTTGCCACTGAAATAGGTTGGGCTTCAGGAAAATACTATTTGACAATCAATAAAACATACTAATCACATTTTTTGATTAATGGAAGATGATTTATCTTTAAAAAATATTTGAATAGTTGATAATATTTTACATTCCTCATAAACATCAACATTTTTCTTGTTAAGGTATAAACTTTTAAAATACTACTTTGATAATATGAACCATAAACATTAGTTTTAGTATTAGCTGGCAAGCCACATTAACTAATGAAGTTACTCTTACAGTAAATTTTCCTTGGAAACATTGATGTTGAACCATATGAAATTACCATTTCATGTTTCCAAAATGGTCGACAATCAGCAATTTTATATGCTTCAAGTCTCTCTGAAAAAAATAGTTTGCAAATGTAATAATGGTTTCTATCAACATAATGATTAGGATTTGAGCAGCCTTTCCTCATGAAAGAATGACCCCAACACATGCTTATTTCTATAATACAGTCTTCCTTAAAATTCAGAGAAGACCCCAAACCAAGCTTCTCTTTAAAACCCAGCTTCTCTTTTCTATGTAAAGGTCCATGCTGATGGTGAAGGATAAGATAGACAGGAGGCTGAATTACTAACTTGTAAAGGTGACATTTCCAAAGTGTAAGCTAATGTTTATCTGAGGAGAATGATATATTTTCACTCCCTATCTAATCATCGAATAGGCAAGACTGTGGATTCACTACCTTTTTACCACATTAAAATTCACTCTGGGCCTAATGAAATGTGCCAGTTGATTCCCAGGAGGCCCTCTGGGGACAGAGCCATTAGTGAAGTGCACAATGTAATTAGCATGCAGACTGTTAAATCCATTTGCAGTAGTATGATATGAGATTTTACTTGCACCCAACTGTGTTTTGCTTTTGAAATCTCCCATATTGCCTTGTTCAGTGGCGCTTTACTTGCATGCCACTCCCTCTTCTCAGGCTACGTGGTTTCAGCAATTTAGACAAGTGACACAATATTCACTTTCAATAGAAAGAGTGTCACCTAAAGTTAGTCCATAGGAAAGGTCTTATGGGATTCATGGACTTAATATAAATTAGGTCCATAGTATAACTTTTGTGAATAAAATTTCATGTAGAACTTATGATAATTTTCCAGAAATAGAGAAGCTCACAAAATTACTTGCTGTGCTATCAGGCATTGATGGGCAATTAAAAATAAATCCATGCTAAAATGTGAATTTCCATGCATTTAAAACCAACATTTTAAACCCCTACTCAGAGGCTATACTGGGCTTTTTGGATGCAAACATGAAAGGATATTGACTATGCCTTCAAATCAGTGACTGCGTAATGGTGGCCTAATAATCAAATATGATAAGCCTAAAGAACAAAATATAGGCACTGTCAAAGAAAAATGCAAACAACAGTGGGAACACGAGAGGGACAAGTTTGTTTACCCAGAAAATTCTTTTACTTGTTGGACTTAAAGCTTGGGAAGATGTTTTCCAGTCAGAAAAGATAAAATAAACAGCAAACACAGAATTACAAATTCTCAAAGAAGCTTAAAATCTTTGGGTCCTGTAGTTCTGGATTTTGACTGATTAAATGCCATCAGTGGAGGGATTGAAGGTAAAGCCAAGTAGTGAGGTCTTCATTAGAGACAGTAGTGACTCTCACGAAAAGAGATATAAAATATGCATTTCATTCATCATGGCAGTGGGAGGCAATTGAAGAATATGAAGGATATAGTGAATTTAATTCTAAATTTGATTTCCCCAGTGGTGGTGTGGATGGGCAGATTAAACATGGGTGAGGCTGAGGGGTGAGGGGTGGTATCAACAGCTCAGTAAAGAGATAAGTTTCCAAAACAGTACACTTAAAGTCTGGTAAAGGCAGGAGGAGAAATAGAAGAGGTATTTAGGAAATTAAGTTGATTTGATTTCATAACTGAATATGAAGTGCCAGGAGAAAAGACTGAGGATGATATTTGGCAACACTTTCGCATTTCTTTCAGTTGTCATTGGTGTCTTAAAGATTGTCCTAATGCATTTCTCCAGATCATACTTCTAAATTCTCCATCTCAATTTCTAATCTCTGCTTTAAACACACTGTGACCAGTGGCCCTCTTGTTCCCAGAGCTGCTCCACTTTCTTTTGCACCTTACACCTGGCACCATCATTGTTTACCATTAGCTCAAGCCCTGGGCCTATTTGTGAGGCTTAGGTCTGGTTTTCTTCACGCCCACACCCAGTACATTACTCATTTTTTCTTATATATATTTTCTCAAATCTCTCTCCTACTCTTTGTTTCCAGTGACAGAAAATGTATGGAAATAGTTTTTAATTGATCTCCTAGTCTTACCTTTCTTCTCTCCTGCTCTCCTATTCACACTTCACACTGAAGCCAAATGATCTTTCAGAAACATAACCAGGCATAGGCAAAATCTTTAGCACTGGGTGTTAGATGCTGGTCTCTGCCATCTTCTCAAGCCAAATCTCACACCATTTACTACCCTCTTGTGCAAACAGTTTCTATGATTCATCTTTACTGGCCTATCTTTCTTGCCCTAGACTTCCCCCCACCCAAGATTTTCTCTCTTTCTAAAATGCCCCTTCTGCTGCTGCTTTTTTTTTTATTTTTCATGTCGGATGGGTAATGTGCCGACGTCGTAACAAGATTTGTCTGAGGCACATCTCATGCATGCACATAAACCCCCAATCATCTCGCTTATGAAATACAACAAGATCACCCCCCTCCCTTCTGCTTCTTAAAGTAAGTAATTCTTACTCATGATTCTCAAGTCATCTTAGGTGTCATTTCCTCAGGGAAGTGTGTGTGGTCATTCCAGACTAAGGTAAGATCCTGGTAATAAGTCTACGTAATGCTCTAACTGATTTTGCTGTGTCACTAAATAAATACCCAACAGGGAATAATGCAAGAGTAAGAAATTGTGGTATAACAATTCAGAGTTGGGATGGGTTCAGGAGAAGGGATGAAGTTAAATGGAGAGAAAGGCAATTAGTGTCTAAGGGATCAAGAATCTGCGTAATTAGTTACACATGTCAGATCCAAGGAAATTAAAAGGCTTCAAGATAATAGCAAACATTGGAGTGCTGGCCAATGGAGTAAGCTAAGTCCCGATGTCAGCAATGAATTGTAGGAATCCAATGGAGACTGGCATTAAGATGGCTGGGAGGAACAGTAATGAAACAAAGTGGAACCAGTAGTGAGCTGCTGGTAAAATGAAGATGTGGTATTGACTTCATGGAATTTACTGAAACAAAAAAAAGAGTTCATATTAAGATGAGAAGATGAACCAAGGAACTAGACCTGTGGACTAAAGCATGGATGAAAGCAATTTAGAAGAAAGGTATTACAGGACAGTTATGCTTGGAGAATGGCAATAGATGACAGTAGAAGAAAAAGAATTTCTCACTTCAAATATTCTGAATAGAATTTATGTTAGAATTACTCTGAGGAAAAAAAACTGACACAAGCTTCCATGGGTTTGGGATGGTAGCACTTACCTCCTGCTGTTGAATTTTCATTAAAAAAAAAGAAAGTTAAACAGATCTCTATTTCTAAAAAGTGGGGCATGAGGATGGGGCAGTGTTCAATAGCAGTTAGGGCAGAAGTCTACAAATTGTGTCCTGTGGACTTAATCTTTTAATCCATATCTACTTTTGTATGAACCATGAGCTAAGAATAATTTTACAATTTTGTATGGTTGAAAATTTCAAAAAGAATAACATTTATATTAGCTGCTTTATGATATCACTTGTACTGTATTAACTATTGCATTTGTTAGCTCATTTAAGCCTCACTACAACCTTGTGAAGCAGGTACTCTAACTCATTTTTATATGAGAATTTCAAGCTTTTAGTTAGGATAAGTAGTCATAAGGCTAATGAGTTCAGCTGAAATGGAAACCCAGAATCTCCCCACACAAGCTGGGCTTCTAACCTGCATTCTTGTACGAAAGTTACCTAACATAAGAAGGGCAGTCTGTAAGTGCAAATGAGAGAGATACAGGAAATATTCTGATGATCCAGAATGAAAATCATTTGTTTCTTGTTTGTGACAAGCAAGAGAAGAGAATGAGGCCATGCTTCTACCATGATGGGAAGTATTAACTTTGAGTCCCAATTAATCAAACTGTTGTCTCCTCCCCAAAAGAATTCCATTCTTCTCATTTGTAGATGTGTATTACAAAATTATACTCAATAATTATTGTTATATTTTAATTTTCTCAAATAATTTGCAGACACTTGTGTTTATTTTGTTATATAAGCACTTCTACAGTAGCCTTGATTTTGTTTGTTGGCTCACAAAGTCTAATATATTTACTATCTGGCCCTTTACGAAAAACATTTAATGTCCTTGTCTTAGAGTAACAACCTGTAAATTACTCACTCCCAGTTGAAAAATAGGTTAAATGTGAAGTAGGTAAGACCAAGTTTCCAACAATATCTGAGAAAACCAGTTGAAAATGTTCATATCATATCATGCTTAGAATTCTCTAACCATAGTCTTTGATCTATTTTTCTATTACTCTTAGTTTCTCACTGACTGCAGGAACCAAACCAGAACATGGTGCAGAAGTTTGCTTTCTCCATAGGGGATTTGGCCAGTGGGAAGTACATCTGTTCTTACTGTTTGAGGTTTCTCTGTTAGCTTGTTCCTCTCCCACATCCGGTACCAATAGTCCCTTGTGCATATACTCACTTCATCTCTGCCAAATTTTACCAGATGTTAGTTGTGTTACTGAGAAAAGAAGATGAACAAGATCCAAAATCCCAGATCAGCTATCTCCTGCCAATGCTCACCTTAATTCCTAGGAGATACATATATACAAAAAAATTGCTTCATGCAGCATCTCACATCAACAATTTCACTGTCAATCAAGCCTTACCCCAGTGCATACATGCTCAGGTTTGCATATAATAATGAGGCCTAACATAATGTCTTTACTGTCTCTTAAACCTAAACCTTTACTCACATTAATTCTAACATCTGATATAATAACTAGAGATTATAATTCTATATTTTTCTTAGTTCTTTTTCTAATTTTCCTACACATCTCTGTGTTTAGGTAAAAATGAACTTGATGTGATATATAATGTAACTGGGAAATGCCCTTAAATCTAAAGCACTAATTCCCGCTCCAAAAAGTTGAAATGCCAAGAAGAGAAAGTCATTGAGATCCTATCACCTTGAGAGAACTAGTTAAAGGACGCAGAGACAAGCTCTTAGGAGAGAACCAGGATGACATATTTGCTGACATTTCTCCCTTTTCTTTGCCAAATTTCTCTCCAGAATTCTGCATTCTGTCCCCAAACTGGATTGTAACAAGTCAAAAAGCAGGGTAGGGAAGGATGGCTAGTAAATTTGGAGTAACTGCAGACGTTATCTCATAGAGCTTTCCTTTCAAGTTTAAGTCAACAAATGCCTATGTTTATGTGCCTGTCATTGCACTGGATCTGGATATAGAAGAGTAAATGAAATTCACTTATAGACTAGAACAGGGGGTATCTGCAGGGTAGTGTAGCATTATAGAATGAAAGAGTCAGATCAAGAAGTAAGAGTACTAATAGGCACAGAGTGTTTATAGATTAAACAGGAATCATGAATAAGTGTTATTCTCTTTTGTTTTTATTTTCAGAACACATGATTGAATAAAAAACTCCTGTAAATACAGAAGACTGATTTTAATAATGGGATTGTATCAGTAAGGCTCATTTAGAATATGTAATTAGATTTCACGCTTGATTATATATGCAAATACCTCCTAAGAAAACGACAGCTTAATTTTGGTTTAGAAGTCATTTTAAGGATTTAAACCTAAATTTTTCAATGATTTCTAATTTTTTTGTGTAGTACGATATTTTGTGAAAGAAATATGCATTAGTACTTACTTGGTTTTACATTATTTCTTGGAAAATAAAGAACATTGACATTGGAGAAAAGAAAAAAAATTCCTCTATGAAACTTATTACAACACAGTATAACGCAAGAAAAACCAGCAATCATTAATTTTTTGGTGGTCTTAAAGTTAATGATCCATAGAAGCTACCACTAGAACTTCCATATCAACTAATTTAATAATAATAGTCTATAAAAATATAAAGATACTGCTGAGAAGGGAAGAAGTATCTTTAGTTTCTATTAGAGTCGATTCCAGATTCATAGGAGAAAAGATTTAAGTTGAAAATAATTTCTGTTTTCTGTTTGTCTAAGAGACGATTCTATAAACTAAAAGCCAGTAATTATTATAGTAGATATTTATCTCCTTGTTTTAAGGCTTGATCACATCCCTCAGATTATATGATCTCTTCATCATGAGACCAAGCAAGAGACTCATACCCAGGTTGTGGTAACTAACACTCCCATATATATTTCCCAGTAATTTGTTCGATGCTAAATTTCTCTTTCAAATGTAACTTTAAAAAACTCTCAAACCCAGTTATTTGTATTTACTATGTTACATTGATTTTTTGTTTTGTTTTGAGTCAGTTATTCTGGTTCATAATATTCTTTACTCAGATTAATTCTACCATCTCATATAGTAACTATTCTTTTTATTTGTGATTGGATCATAATTTTGATGAGGATAGAATGAATACAGAAGCTTGTGTTATATTAGCGGTGACAATTCTTTAGGCTGGTAATGATTGAGTAAGCAACATCAGTTCTGAGTTTATCTAACTGCAAAACAACTAATGACTTTTGAAACTTTACATTTTTAAAAATTTTGTCCAATGACTATCCTTAAATATTTACTAAGCCTTGATAATGTGAAAGTAACTGGGTCAGATGATCAGAAAACTAAATTAAAAAGTTATAATCTCTTCCTACAAGCCGAGATCTCACAATTTGACTGGAGAAACTATCACATTTATGATTTATTATGGTTAGCGTGATAAGAACTACAGAATGTGTCATAGAAATGATGGTGCCTAAAAGGTTCAAGGGGACGAGTCCAGAGATGACCCGGGGCTCATGGTCTGTGAATGGATGGTTAACTTTTCTTGTTGAATATTGTGTGTCAGGAATTCTCAATGCTTATTTGTTAGTTTATTTAATCCTCACAGTATTAAAAGACCCTTTGAGATGGGACTTAAGGTCAAATAATCAGCACTTTGTGAAGCCTGGCTTTAAACACTGGCATTTTCTCCTTAGAGAAAATGGGTCCAAATTAAATGCCAAATTAAGAGTGATTAACTTATTCCTGCCAGCAATCAGGAAGTATCAAAAGGTGATTAAAGAATCCAAATAACTAATGAAGCTACATATTTAAGAATGATAATTTTACAATCAGTTTGAAAAGTGGAATGGAGAAGGGCACGAAAGGAAACTGGAAAGATGGAGTTTTTGACTTTTGTCCTCAGGTGTAAAGGATCTGAACTATGGTACTCAACTCACCCTGACCAGTGAGTTCAACCTCCACACTCATCACCCCACTTAGGAACTGGGTCCCCAGAACTCCTGGAAAAGCATTTTCTCTAGTCATCTGGTACCCCAGGGAATCTCCTCCAGTTGCTACCAAGTACAGCCACTCGCTCCGGTATTTTGCTGACTTGCCACTTTTGATACCATGCTTCCTCTCACCATTCTTTGATGTTTTAATCTTTACTTTTCTAAAATACAGATTTTATTTCCTCAAGTCATAGCCCATCTTTTCCCAATTTGCTATATATCCTGGAAATCCTGAGTCTGAACACTGAAGCTTGCACGTGGCCAGGGCAC